CTCCCCGCTAACCCCCCGGGCCCCTCCCCCCCCCACCAAAGTTGTAAAGTTCATTTTCGACATAACGACAACGACTTGTACATCTCATTGTTGCAATGAGTCTACCTGTATCCCTGTTTAAACGATTTGTTTTTCCTCTTCCCCTCCACAAATTATACCGACATCAAATATAGTGAAAGCAGGGGTTATACTGTGGGGGAGGTTCTAGTGGTTTATTGGAGATAAGAGTCTCATGGTCTTTCCTTCCCGGGATGGCTTTGAACCGTGATTCTCAGATCTCAGCCTCCTGAGTAGCTAGGATTACAGGTGTGAGCCACCATGTGAGCCACCGGTACCTGGCTGGTAAATATTTCTTAACAGATAGTAATTAGTTAAACAACCTAGTTATTTCCATTGCATGCATCATTTCAGGCTAGTAATTCAGATTACCAGCACAAGACCACAAAGTTTTTCCTCATTACAATGAGAAAACCATGCTGGGCACCAGTGGTGCCCTTAGTCACAGATATAAAAAGACCCATAATCCTAGCTAATCAGGAAGCTGAAATCTGAGATTGCAATTTGAAGCCAGCCCAGTAAGATTCTTATATCCAATTAACCACCAGAAAACCAGAAGTGGCACTTTGGCTCAAAGTGGTAGCTCAGGGACAGTGCCCAGGCCTTGAGTTCAAGTCCTACAACTGATCCAAAAAAGTCAGAAGGGGAGACATGGCTCAAGTGGTAGATCACCTGCTTAGCATGTGTGAGACTGTGAGTTCAATCTCTAGTACTGCAAAAAGAAAGAAAGAAAGAGGAAAAGAAAGAAAGAAAGGAAAGAAAGGAAAGAAAAAGAAGAGAAGGAAGGAGGGGAAGAAAGAAGGGAAGGAAGGAAAAGAAGGAAGGAAATAAAGGAAAGGGTATTAGAAGGTGTGACTATGAGCAAAGTACATTATATGCATGTGTGGGAATGTCATAATGAAACTTCATGATTAATTAAAAGAGAGGAGAAAGAGTTTGCTTCTGATTAAGTAGGCCTTACTTTCCTGCTCTGAACTGTCTGTTGATGTACTGACAATGTCCTCCACTCTCCAAGTACTTCTTTTTTGTTTGGTTAGTTTTGTGCCAGTCCTGGAGGCTTGAACTGAGGGCCTCAGTGATGTCTCTTAGCTTTTTTGCTCAAGGCTAGCACTCTACTACTTGAACCACAGCTCCATTTCCAGCTTTTTTTGGTGCTTAATTGGAGAGAAGAGCATTATGGACTTTCTTGCCTGGGCTGGCCTTGAACCATGAGTCTTAAATCTCAGCTTCCTGAGTAGCTAGGATCACAGGCATGAGTCACTTGCACCTGGGCTCCAAGTACTTACCTGCAGTACATGCTGCCCCCACCTCACCCCCCGCCCCACGCCATGACAGAGGAATCCATTCGTACTCAGTGCAGGCACTGTGGCTCTTCCAGGGAATTCCGGACATCCATGAAGAGTTCATCCTGCAACAATTTGAACTTAAGAGCAAACAGAGCTGCGATGTGCTCCACACGACCAGGCTAAACCAGGTTCCTCTGGAGCCAAAGAAGTACAAGAACCTGCAGGACACAGGATTCTTCCAGAAACCAGATCAGAAGAGGAAATTCCAGAAACCCCAGGTGACTGCAGAAGGGAGCCTATTGAGAAAATCTAAAATAATTAATTCAGATGCTTTAAAGCCCTAAATATCCCTGAATTCTGCTCCTGCTCCTGTGCCAACCCCAGCAGTATTGAATGCCAGCAACTCACCATCCACAGAGCCCTCCAGGGGTTTCTAGCTTCTTCTGCCATCTCCTCTAAGTTCTGTGTGTGTGTGTGTGTGTGTGTGTGTGTGTCTGTGTGTCTGTGTGCGCATGCACGCAGACACACACACAGACACACACACACACACACACACACACACAGGGGCACACACTCAGCAGCCCTCTGAGCAAAGGAGGATGTGATTGTGATATGTTTTCTAAGTGACTGAAAATGGAGGCAATTCTGTTCACAGCCCGGATGTCACTGTCTTAGAGGTACTACAAGCGTGTGCTCTCTGTGCAGGTAACTCTCTTTTTTCTATTAGTATGTGCTGTAAACTTTAGGTGGCTTGGTCTCCCTGGAATCCTCAGTTCAGAGAATCCCCTGGGCTCTTTCCAGTCTTCCTTGCTCTGTGTGATCTGGAATCTCTTGTCAGGCAGTGAGCTGGCTGCAATTATGGCACTTACCTTGTTTGTTGCTGGTCCCTGAGGGATCATCAGCTTTTGTTCCCTGACATCCAGGATCTTGAAAAACATTGGTTTTTTTTTTTCCTTATTGGTTTTCTTCTTTCCTTTTTCAGATGTTTTAGGTGGGAGGGTCAATTCAATCCCTCATGTAGAAATAGAAATTCCCATCTTAATTTTTCTCCTTTGTAGAATTCTCAGAACTGTGGTCCTCTGCTTTTTGCTTATTCTTTTTTTTGGGGTGGGGAGTCCAGTCGTAGGGCCTGAACTCTGGGCCTGGGCACTATCCCTCAGCTCTTCAGCTCAAGGCTAGCGCTCTACCACTTGAGCCACAGCGCCACTTCTGGCTTTTTTCTTTTTGCTTATGTGGTGCTGAGGAATTGAACCCAGGGCCTCATGCATGCAAGGCAAGCACTCTACCACTGAGCCACCTTCCCAGCCCCTTTGCTTATTCTTTAAAGGCCAGCTTTCTTGCTACCTTAGCTGTGTTGAGTGAGTCCTGTCTGAAGTTGCCATCTTCCCAAGTGATGTCCAATATGTTTTCAGATATAGAGCATATGCTAATCTCTCCACACAGAGATTTTTTCCCCCAGGTTCCCTTATTGACATTAATTTGTTCTAAACTCTAACAGCACTCTTTGCTCTAGCTTAGCATATTTCTCTTTGCTCTGTATATCCATTCACCCATCAAACATTGGTGAGCATCCATGTGTCCAAAGTGCTGGGCGCAAACCACACAGTAATGATCCTTCACGACCATCCCAGGAGACCACATGGAGGCAGGCAGGCACAGGAAAAGATCGTTCTAAGGTTTATTAGAGGGGCCATATTTCCTGAGAGAGGGAGCACGTGTCCCTATTCAAGTGGCAGGTGGTTCTGGGCCAGGTAGTAAGGCGGGTGCATGCGCAGGTGGGTCTGGGTGGAGAGAGGGAGGGGCCAGCTGTATTGCAGGAACTCTAGGGCAGGGAGGAGCTCGGGTCTAGGTGGAGCTGAGGACCAAAGGTGGGCATAATACTAGCACACACAAAGCTAGGAGACAGCTTCTGGGGTCAATAGGAAAATGACTAATGGTGGCAATTCCACCAGGCATGAGATGGGGCCATTCTAATAAAGACTTTATCTTCCTTAAAAAAAATCTGTGTGTGTGTGTGTGTGTGTGTGAGTATTGAAGCTTGAACCCAGGACCTAGGCACTGTCCCTTAGCCTTTTTGCTCAAGGCTGACACTCTCTCACTTGAACCACAGCTCCACTTCCAGCTCTTTGGTGGTTAATTGGAGATAAGAGTCTTATGGACTTTTCTGCCTGGGATCCTAAGATCTCAGCTTCCTGTGTAGCTAGGGTATCAGGCATGAGCAGGTCCAATAAAGACTTTGGAGGGGTTGGGAAGGTCACTTAGTGGCAGAGAGCTTGCTTTGTAAGCATGAGACCTTGTGTTCGATTCCTTAGCACCACATAAGCAGAAAAAGCCGGAAGTGGTGCTGTGGCCCAGGTGGTAGAGCACTAGCCTTGAGCTGAAGAGCTGAGGGGCAGCGCCCAGGCCCAGAGATCAGGCTCATGACTGACAAAAAAAAGAAGCAAGCAAGCAAGCAAGCAAGGAAGGAAGAGAAAGAAGAAAGAAAAAGAAAAGTGAGGCACAAAGGTCACGGGTGGCTCATGCTTATAATACTAGCTACTTAGGAGGCTGAGAACTGAGGACAACAGTTTGACGCCAGTCCAGGCAGGACTACTGTAAGACTCTTATCTTCAGTAAACTATCCCCCCAAAAAGTCAGAAATGGAGCTGTGGCTCAAGTGGTAGAACACTAGCCTTGAGCCAAAGAAGCTCAGGGACAGCAAAAGTTGGTGATAAACACCATTCAAGAAAAGTGAGGGCTGGGAAGGTGGCTCAGTGGTAGAGCGTTTGCCTTGCATGCTCGAGGCCCTGAATTCGATTCCTCAGCACCACATAAGCAAAAAGAAAAAAGCCGGAAGTGGCGCTGTGGCTCAAGTGGTAGAGCGCTACCTTGAGCTGAAGAGC